AAATCACATAACATGAAAAGGATAAAGATGAAAAATCATACATCATATGAATAGATGCAGAAAAAATATCTGCCAAATTCTAACAACGACTCATGGTAAAAACTCTCAGCAAAATAGCAATAGAGGGGAACTTCCTCAACTTGATAAAGAACATCTACAAAAATCCTACAGCTAAAATCATTCTTAATGATAAGAACTAGATGCTTTCACCTTATAATCAAGAACAAGATAAGGATATTCTCTCTTACCACTCTTATTCAATATTGTACTGGAAGTCAGCTAACGCAGTAAGACAAGAAAAGGAAATAAAAGGTATACAGCTTGGGAAGGAAGAAATAAAACTCTCTTCATTCACAGATGACACAATTATTTTGTAGAAAATCTTAAAGAATCAACAAAAACTCCTGGAGCTAATAAGCAAGTACAGCAAGGTCACAGGATACAAGGTTAACATACAAAAGTGAATTGCTTTCCTGTATAATAGCAATGAACAATTGGAACTTGAAATTAAAAACACAATAAGATTTATACTAACACTCTAAAAAGATGAAATACTGGGTACATATGTAACAAGATATGTACAGGATCTATATGCAGAAAACTACAAAAATCAAAAGAAATCAAAGAAGATCTTAATAAATGGAGAGAGAGTTTGTGTTCATGGATAGAAAGACTCAATATTGTTAAGATGTCAATTCTTTCCAACTTGATCTACAGATTCAACATGATCTCAATCAAAATTACAGCAAATTATTTTGTAGATCTCAAAAGACCAATTCTAAAGTTTACAAAGAAAGGCAAATGACGCAGAACAACCAACATGATACTGAAGAAAAAGAACAAAGTTGAAGGACTGACACTACTCAACATCAAGACTGACTGTCAAGTTATAGTAACCAAGAGAGCAAGCTACTGACAAAAGGATAGACAAATTGATCAATAAACAGAATACAAAGGGCAGAAATAGACTCACACAAATATAACCAACTAATGTTTGGCTAAGAAACAAAAGCAATTCAGTGGAGAAAGGATAGTATTTTCAACAAATGGGGCTGGAACAACTGGACATCTATATGTGAAAAAATGACCTAGATACAGAACTTAGACTTTTTACCAAAATTAACTCAAAACAGATGACCTAAATTGAAAAATTGAAACTATAAAACTTCTAAAACATAACATGAGAAAATCTAAATGATGTCGGGTTAGGTGATGCATGTTAGATACAACATCAGAAGTGTGATCCATGCAAGAGAAAATTGATAAATTGGACTTTATTAAAAATTTTTGTTCTGCAAAAGACAACGTTAAGAAAATGAAAAAACAAGCCACCACCTGGGAGAAAATATGTGCAAAACACATATCTGATAAAGGACTTGTATCTAAAATATACAAAGAACTCCTAAAATTCAACAATAAGACAACAAACGACTGAATAAATGAGCAAAAGATCTAAACAGACACAAAGAAGATATACAGATGGCAAATAAGCATATGAAAAGATGATGAACATCACTTGTCATTAGCGAATTACAAATTAAAACAACGAGATACCACTACACACCAATTTGAATGAACAAAATCCAAAAAACTGACAATATCAAATGCTGGTGAGGATGTGGAGCAACAGGAACTTACATTCATTTCTGGTGGGAATGCAAAATCTTATAGACATCTTGGAAGACAGTTTGGCAGTTTCTTACAAAGCTCGATATAATCTTACCATACATTTCAGCAATCATATTCCTAAGTATTTACTCAATTGAGTTAAAAAATTACGTCTATACACAAACCTGCACATGAATATTTACAGAGGTTTTATTTATAAGAACCAAAAACTGAAAGTAACTAAGATGTCCTTTGAGAGGTGAATGGATAAACTGTGGTACATTGACACAATCGCATGTTATTCAGTGCTGAAAAGAAATGAGCTATCAAGCCATGAACAGACATGAAAGAACCTTAAATGTACATTGCTAAGTGAAAGAAGCAAGTTTAGAAAGCTACATACTCTATGAATTCAAAAGCAAAACTACAGAGATAGTAGGAAAATCAGTGATGACTTGGATTCCGCAGAAGGAGAGAGGGATAAATAGTGAAGTAGAGGGGATTTTTAAGGTGGTGAAACTATTCTGAATGATACTACAACGGTGGATAAGTGAAAATATGCATTTGTCAAAACGTGTAGGAATATACAACAGAGATTGAATCTTAATGTAAATAAATTTTTAAAAACTCATTTAGGAATTTGAGAGGGAAAAATAAAGAATTTAACTATATTACAAATGTAGGAGACAACTTCACTGAATGGGATAGGGGAAAAGTAATGTAGCCAGGTAACTTTAAAAATGAAAGGAACCTGTAAAACTAAAGCAAAAGGAACTGCACAAAAGCACCATACTCCATTGATAAAGATGTTTTCCACGGTGGTACCAGTTAATAGTTCTGATACTGTTATACATGTATACTGGAATTGAACAATAAGTAAATTGGATGAGGCTATAATGATTCATGTGGAAATGGGTTAGAGTTGGAGATATTGGTAAGAACTCATGTTTAGTTTAATATGCATATAGATAGTTAAACATAGAAATATTTATAAATATGTATATATACAGGTTAGTATACACGCACAAATTTCTTTGTTTTCTCAGCAGAAAGGCACTAAAAGAAATAACACCTCAGCAGCAAAGAGCACACCTAGTATCCAGAACTTTCTTTCTAATACTATTCTCCAGTAAAAGGAATCAGGGCTTCTTAGAGAAATGGCTGATTCTAGGACTAGAGCAGGAAATATACAAGATGAGTCTGCAGCATCTTATAGTGCCAGAAAGTCAAGAAGTGCTCAAAAAAAATACCCATAATCATAGTGGTATGTCAAGTTGACATAGAAGTCAACGGAAAGAGTTTCCAATGGCCAAAGCTAGAACAATTTGAGCGACAAAATAAAGTAGAATTGGATTATAACTCAAAGTATAAAATCAATATCCACAAGTCAACACTGATATAAATAAATGACTGAATAAATTAATAAATGGTGGAGAAGAGATAAATCTCCTAACGGAGAAGAATTCCAAATAAATTATGTAGATACTCCACTCTAAGGAAGGGAGCAAAGCTTCCTTACTCCCTAATGTGCAAAGCACCTTCCTTCCAAAGAGTATATAGTATGGAAAGGAGCCAGGGAGACTTTACATTGGAGACACCTGACAAACACTATATCAGCTAGGTGATCAAGGTCAACATCAACATTCATAAATCATGTAGAAAGTATGTACTCTTGATATCATGCGACAAAAATGGTACTTTACCTCTGTGGTCTTCCTCTCAAAACCCATAATCCCAGATTGATTAAGAGAAAACCACCAGACAAATTCCAATAGAGGGGCATTCTACAATATATCTGAACAGTATTCCTCAAAACTTTCAAGGTTATCAAAAACAATGACAGTCTGAGAAAGCGTCACAGCCACAAGGAGCCCAAGGAGACATGAAAACTAAATGTCATGTGTTATCCGTGATGGCATCCTAGACAGAAAAAGCACACTTGGTGAAAACTAAAGAAATCTGAATAAACTATGGACTTTAGTTAATAATAATGTATCACAACATAAAAGATGCAAAATAATTTTAAAAGTATATAGTTAGTCATGCAAAAGGAGCAGAATATGCAAAAATAAAAATAAAGAAATACATCATAAGGTTAAGAGATGTTATATTAGAAAGCTATGATTTGGGGTGATTTTTATCTTCTTCCTTTTAATTTTTCCACTTTTTTAAACAATTCTTATAATAAGATGATAGTATTTTTAATATCAGGAAAAATTCCAGCATATTACAAAAAAACTGGTTGTCTGGGTCCTCCTCAAAACCCCATTTTTATCTCCATGAGAATGGGAGCCAAAAAGTCTTTGGCTGACTATATTATCTCTGCAATTCCTTCCAACTGTAAGATCATGTGAATTACATAAATTTTAACTAAAATCTATGTCCCAGCTACGCATGTGGTAGGGACCCAGAAATATTTAATTACTACATGACTCTCAAATGCACTGGTTATCATACATTTTGTGCCAGATATAATCTACCAGTGTCCTAACAACACACTAGAAATGAGCCCAACTCAGTGTTACATAGTATAAATGCAGTATATTTTTGGTGTAAAGTATGTCTTTTTATGTCACTGTTTTTCAGTTGTTTGTTTTCAATTTCCATCTGACTCTGAAATAGGAGGCATGGTCTTGTGTGAGATGCGGCATCCATGCTTAGGATGGACGTAGGTTGAAATAGGACTTAGTAAACATCTGTAACATAAAGGATGACTGTCACTTATGCATAAATTATACAAGTTGCATCAGTTGTTTGTTTGCTTTACTTCAAGATTAGTCCATGTGCACCTATAGGCTACTATCAGTCATTATTAAAGAGATTTATAAGATGAGATTTAAAAGAAAGTCATTCTGGAAATTGTACAAATGGGAACTTCAGCATAGCGAACAGAGTTAGAGAATCACTACTTTTTAAATATACCATAGGCCTAACCAAATTAATTTTGGACTATACAAGAAATAGACCTAACTATCAAGGTAGCGTAAGATGGATTAATGTATAAAGGTTACAAAATGTAACAAAGTTGTAAAATGGCCTGGGGGGAAAAATTGGAGATGAACAAACTAGACTGCAGATATTTGGCATGTAAGGTGATGACTATTCCAGCCTCTGCTGCCATGTTCTATTCTTGAATCTTTAAGTTTTACTCAACCACAAATTACTCATGTGTAAAAATAAGGAAGACATCACAACAGAAATTAACAACTAAAAGAACTGGGATAGACATATTTAAATGTGTCTGAAAAAAAATACTATCCATCTTCCTAGCATTAGGTTTCCATTTTGTTCAATTTAACTTTGAGAGTATAACTCAGAAAACAAAACTAAAGGTTAAAATCAAACTATGAAAATCAGGAGGTGACAACTTTGTTTTCTTTTCCAGCCTTTACCTTCTGGCTCGTTTTTGATGAGCTCTTCCATTTTCCTCTGCTTCAAGGTGTCAACAACATCAGCTAAGCTGCCTTTACGCCGTTCAGGAGTTCCCAGGGCTGTACTAGACAAGGATTCGCCACTCTGTCGCCCACCTTCTTCTGCCTTCTGAGGTGAGGTAGATGAGTTGTGTGGGGCAAATGAAGACATAACTTTATTGCCATCAACTTCCTGAAAGAGAAAGCAAAGGAAAAATAACCATATTTGTTTAAAATTCAGTAAGCTTTTTTTTTCAATTGGTTATGTGGCTTATTCTGCTGAAACACTAAAAAGTGAAATGGCACTCTGCAAGAGCAAAGGAATAAAGAAATTTCTAAAAAGAATGCATTAACTTTACAGGCTAGCTCTAGATTGAGTCAAAGATCAATTCATAGGAGAAATAAAAATATGGAGATTCTCTTCCTTAGATGGAGTACAAATGGCAATATGGCCTTGTCCAAAGCCTATATTGATTAGAATTATTTATTTTTCTGCTTTTGTTTGCAAGTCTTAGATTTTCCTATGGACATTATATGTAGCAGTAATCTGTATTAAACCTCCTCATGACATTGTAATATTTAAACAAATAACATTATATATACTTTAATTTTCATTTTAAGTAGCTGCCTCTTCTTGATGGTACTCCTAATTAAAGTAAGGTCCTCTTTCAGTTCACCTCCCTCTCATGCTTTTAAGAAAGCATCAGCCACACGGGTTATTTTGACATCAGACAGGCATATTGCAAGTTCATTTCTGCTTATGCTGAAGATATTTCAGATTCCATTTGTTACCTGAAGCACTGTTTCTGTCGATACTCTCCTATTTTGCACTTTAAGCCACATTTGCCCTATAAAATAAAGTTTCTTGCAGTCTTTCCCTCTTCATAATTGTGTATGTGTATGAAAAGAATTTATTCTTCAATTCTAAAATAAATATATTTTTGGTGTTACTTTTGTCTTTATTTTCCCTGCAATTTCTAGCACAACTCTGGCAATCTGTATAATATTTGGAGTATATTTTTTATAAAAGGCACTAAATTGATTTTTCAGACATTTTCAAGAGAGTTGATATTAACATGATACAGAAAAATTAATTTTCTTACTTAAAGATTTTCCTTGTATAGTCTCTTACTTCCACAGTCCTTTGACTTCCCACAAAGCAGAGCTCTTCTTAAAAATAAATCTGTATCCTAAGATCTTTGAGGAAGTTAGTTTACCTCTAAGCATATTTATTAATTCCATAGCATTAAAAGTTTCCATTAAAATATATTTGAGTGTGTGCATACTTAATATTCAGGATAATAGATTATATCCATGTTTACATATTTCTTCTCTACCTATTTAAGACATGTTAATAGGATCGGTTGACTCCAGAAAAGTGACAAATCACATTGACTTGATACCTAATGGTTTTAAGGTTAATGCTAATATTTTTGACTAGCTTAAAAATAAAAAATAATGATAAAATTGTCATTCTAATTTTTTAAAACAGATTAAAAAATAGAGATGTTAACACAAATATCATAATCTGTTCATATGATTTTTTCTTAATGGATGAGTACAAGGAAATTAGCTATAGTACAAGCATCAATATGTTGTGTGGGGCCGAGGCAATGTGGGGAAAGCAAAAGAAAAAACGTGTGCTAACAGAATCTTCAAAATTATAATTCTAAACCCAAAATGGTTTCCATTTCTTACAAACCTTACAGAATGTGCCTCTGATGATTACTACGTCTCGACTGAACATTCTATAGACAATACTTTCATAGATGAATCTTAGCTTATAATGTACTTGGATTTAGAAATCACATGCCTAATGTAATAATTATGAGCTCTTGCAGGCTAAGTGAAGGTACACTTCTGGAATTATTTATTTAAAATCCACACATAAATACAAGCAAACACATAAACACACAGACATCTTAAAAGAGCAATGACAAAGTCATTCAGTAAACTAAGGAAGGTTTTTATGAATGGCCCATAATACACATCAGCTCAGTTTAATGTGCAAACCAGAATACAGCAAAATCTCTGTATTCACTTCCCACAAATCTTTCTTTTCATTTATTTCCAGGGTCAAAAGCAGAAACACCCCAATTTTAACTTCACTTTGAACATTTCTATTTTATACTCTGTTTTCACATTATATGATGACAAGCTTTACAAACCAGAATTTGGCAGTTCAACTTCACTTGCCATAATTGAAAATTACACACATCTTTCTACAGCATCATCAGTAGAGAGAATAGCACCCAAATTCTATATCAGAAATATTTACAGAAATTATTTTGTAATTATCAGAAATATTTCAATATTATATCAGAAATATCAGAAAATATTTCAATTTAAAGTAAAATAATATCCTATTTCGCATGTCTCTAATTTTCTACACCTTGCAAAGAGCAAGGACATTTTTAAAGAATTTAACATATTTCACAAGTATTCTAAACTCAGTTACCACAATAGTATAAAAATTAATTAATTAATTATGCATTACTGCTATTTCACATAGGAACATTTATCTTTTTGCTATTTCACCTGTCTGATTACATTTCAGCCTCTGGCACTGTTAATCCCTTTAACAGTTTTATGTAGTTAACAGATGTTTCAGTGTGGGACTCCACTGTTCATTTGCATGGTGAACAGCTTGTTGAGGTGCACTGCCATAGTCTTCAGTCAAGGTAGTCCTATCGTTTTCAGTGTCTTCCCTGGAATTGCATTTACCACACCTGAAATAATGACTGCATGTTCCCCTTCACTTTGCCGGCAGGTGAACATCTAGAGTCTAATAATAACAAAGGCATTAGTGGTCCAGACCAGCAATATATATTTAATTGTTTTGTAAATTCTAAGGACCAGTTTCAGTATTTTGCAGAAGAGCTCTCAAAACTGTGATGTATGACTTCTAAAGTCTAATGATAAAAGAGTACTAAACTTTTAGAATGAGGTTGATAATCTTCATTATTCTTGAACAATATTCTTGAACAAGCTTTACTTAATCTTGCCCCCTTTGCAACCATGAGACAAATGAAGGGATCTGCCTAAAGTATCTACGTATCTATCCTCATTGAAGTATTTTTTTGAAAATCCATTCTTGTTAATTAATTCTAAAGACAGCATTTTGCTATAAACACTTTGAGAGAAATATTATTTCAATCATAATATTCATATTTTAATTTGATAATCTGGTAATTGAGAAGAACTAACTCATTTGAAAAAAGAGATTATATGTAACTTAACCAGATATATAAGCTCCTTTTATTGTCCAAATGACATTGCATCCTTGACTTCCAGCCTCAAGAAACACATTATCATGTTTACTTTTCCATCCTATACACTGAAATTAAATTCATACAGGGTAGTAAAAACATTATATTTAATAGTCAATCTATCAGACAATAATTGCTAAAAATAATAGCGAATATTTATTGAATATTTATTTTGTGTCAGACACTGTTTCAAGTGCTTTATTGCATTAAGTCAGTTCATTTTCACGGCAAGCCTAATCATGATTTGTACTTCATAGCTGGAGAAACTAAGGCACATAGACTGAAGTAAATGTATGAAATCATATGACTAATAAAAGGTGGAGTGCATAATCAACCCCAACCTGTTGAGCTCCAGAGCCCTGGTTCTCAATCACAGTGCTAATACTACCTCTCTCTTAAAAACAAAATTCCTAACTATGTCTATATCTATCAATGTTATGGGTGAACAAGATATCCTATCTTCTTCTTAATAATTAAGTATGAAAATGAGAGCTTTTCACCCCAATATGTTCAACTCCTAAAGAAAAGAAATGATACATATGCACTGAAATTAATTAATCCAAATATATTCTAGAGTTATAAAGCTCTCTCCATCCAAATAGCCACTAGTTTATGTCATATTCAAAAAAATAAACCTTAAGGTTTAAATAATTATTTAAACCAAACACACAGATTTGACCTCTAAGTGGCTAATCAAAGTAATGGTGCTCAGTAGTCTATGATTTTTTAATCTATCTTTATAAAATGTGTGGGCATCTTGAGCCTCCTTTCTAGTACAATAAAGTTTTGAACTTAGGAAAAAACAGTATAGAAGATTTGAACTATCTTTAACTAGATTCGCATTAATGCAAGTTCATTAATTTTGGTATTGCATAGAGATAGCATAAGATGAACTACAGATACATAGAGAAAGTGCTTTGGTGCTGAACAAGTTTTGACATGGTCATATTATTATGCCAGTAATGGGCCATTGTAAATATCACCAGGACAAGGCAAAACAAAACTCTGAAAAATATCTTAAAAGCTACACTATTTGGTTGAAATGGGTGAAGATGGTCAAAAGGTACAAAATTCTAGTTACAAAGTAAATAAGTCCTGAGGATGTAATGTACAGCATGGTGACTATAGTTAACAATACCGTTTTGTCTATTTGAAAGCTGCTAAGAGAGTAGATCTTAAAAATTCTCATAAGAAAAAAAATTTGTAACTGTGTGGTGATGGATGTTAACTAGACTTATTGTGGTGATCATTTCACAATATATACAAATAGCAAATCATTACATTGTACATCTGAAACTAACATAATGTTATATGTTAATTATATCTCCATAACAAGGCTGTATTATTTGGTTATTCCTTAATTCTTTAAAAATTGAATTATTTTATTTTGAAACTAAATTGCACTACAATAATGCACCCCATAACAACATTTCAGTCAATGATGGAATGCATATAGCTGATAAGCATATAAGATTAGTACCTTACAGTCTAGATGTGCAGTGGGTATACCATCTAGGTTTGCGTAACTACACTCTATGATGTTCACACAATGATGAAATCACCTAACAATGCATTTCTTAGAATATATCCCCGTCATTAAGCAATGCACGACTGTACTTGTAACCTACTCCGTCAAATTAGGAGATGCCAAATTTAATTTTGTAATAGAAAAAAATACATGATTATCGCATAATAAATTCAATTATTTTTAGTTTTCTTGGTTAAGATAATTTTTCATAAAAGTTCCACACGACACCCTAAACCAATAATGCTTACTTCTTTTGGATTACAGATTCCTTTACGATAGCTACAGATGCTCTCCTAAACACATATGTACATGCATATAGTCAGACACACACTCACACAACTGCACACACAATTTCACATACATAGAGTTTTAGAAAGTTAATTTTCTACTTTCATA